GAAGTATTCTGTGAGGTGCCTGCACTCATGGTTCCCTCGAAGGAGGAACAACGTTTTGGGATGATTTATCTTTAAACTCCATAAATACAGCACACACTGCAAGAAAGGGAAGGAGGAGATGGCATGTAATAAAAACCTTTTATAGGGCACTAATCATCCGTAGACTTCACTAAGTGTTTCTGGGAAGACACCCAACAAGCTGCATTCAAAGTGGAACCCTGATAGAAACCCAGCTCCATAATCGGCAGTAGATCTTATCTTGGCCAACTTCACCAGTGGGGGAAAGCCACACTGAGCATTTCTCTATATTAGGCCTGAGTTGGAGAAGTGACAAATGAGATCGCGTTCAACTGAAACCGGCTCTGGGCTGGGTGGGGGCAGCTTTTCCTTCCAGCAGAAACCAAAGCAAAAAGCACCCATTTTCAGAGCAGCAAAGCAAAACCAGCTGCGCAGCGAGATGTGCGCTCCAGATGTCCCACTGCAATCGAAACCAGAGACCATCAAGTATAACAGACAGCCATCTTGATAGACGTTTTATCAAGTATATTAAACATTAGAAAAATTCAACTTGCATCTTCCCCACTGAATTCCCCCCCCCCCTCTGTTTTTCTGCTTACGCTTACAGTCATGTGAAGTTCAAGTTCAAAACAGGAAAAGCCTCGCCAAAAAACAAGCTTAGTAAAGCCTTCTGGCTTTGAAGAGGGCTTTCCACATCCCCTATCTGAGCAGCAACACCTGTAAAAAGATCGTCTTTGATGAGGTGCAGACCAAAGTCAAACTGAAACAATCATTTGCAGCAGGCTCCCAGAAATATTTCATGGTGGCTTTCCAAAGAGGCTACGTGAAGAAGGGAAGGGCTGGAAAGCAAGCGCGCTTACCCTTCTGCGCTATACGTTGTCAAGCTGACAGCTAAATCAGCAGGTACCCAGTATGGGGAAACGTTACCGCATTTCCCTTGTTGATTTTGAGTGCTGGAAGGCCAACCCATAATGACAGCAAGCTTGAAGATCTGGATTAAAGTCTCTAATAAGAGCTTACCCTTTAGGCTGACATGCTACAGAAGCGGCACACTTTGAGAACGTGAACCGTGAAGTCTGTCAACAGTTTTACACTTAAAAACATTGCTGATCTGGTGCACAGATCTCCGGGAACCAACTGCTGTGGCATGGAAACAACCTCCAGAACCAAAATAAACCAGTTTCGAGTTAGTTTCCAGTACAGACACCTTAGATATAATTGTATTTAAGCACTGAACCTGCAAGGTAAGCTATACATTAGTCATTCCAGCTACATGCAGGGATCCCTAAAGGAGCTGTAAAGCACCCGTCTGCGTCTAACTCAGAGTTCAACCCCACAGAGAAAGACTGGATAGCAAATTCTGAATTTTAAAACTGAACAGAAACAGGGCCAGTGGCAGGTAATATAAGCTGTAGTTAAGGCTAGCAAAACTAATGTTTTACTGCACCTGTTAACATGTTCCCAACAAAACCATTTATAATTATTCTGTGATTTAAAGCTTTAACCTCCTGTGTTTGCAACCTAAACGTCACTTTTCTGGGATAGCACAAGAACTGAAAAGTGAAAGTCACTATAAAACGAACCAAGCGACTTGCTAGAGACTGGAGAAAGCAACCAGCCCTGGCATCACTGCTTCAAAGAAAAGCAAGGAAGTAGAGACACGCCATCAATAAAGAGGAGGATTTGGGCTGTATAGAAGGTCAGCAACTGGCAGAAGAGATATTTAAAAATAGATTTGAAGTGTTTTAAAGTGAAATGGAAGTGAACGGAGTCACTCGGCACCACAATTCTTCCTGGACACATGCAGCAAGCAAACCACAGACGTCAAGAGCAAACGTCTCCAGTATCGCTGCAGTTCCCCGTGGTTTGCAGCTATTTCACAAGGACGTGGGGGGCTGCCAGGTACTAGTGGGGTAACGATGAGTAAAGGACATTCAACAGACCTCGTGAGCTCCGGAGGAGCTGGAACGAGGAACAACAGAGTTTTCTACACTCGCATGCCTCAGATGCTTCCTGGCGTTTTGTACAGATCCCTTTCCCAGACTTTCAAGGCACCGTGCCCAGGAATTGATTACTGCGTGTTTACAATAGCCTAGTAGCAACTCCAGACAATTATGGCTTACTAGGCCTAAATACTCTACTTCTCCCCCTATTCTGCCTATCGGTTCGAAGCCCAAAGCCAAGCATTCGCGCCCGTGCCCCCATTTGATTCCCCCCCTTTCACTCACAAGGGGAAAGCTCAGCAGGTCACGGTGGGGGGAACCGCGAGAGGAATTGCCACCTGCAACCCAAAGCAACAGCAAGAGGGGCTGCTGCCAAACCTGCCCGCAACAAGCCACACCGTAATCTCTCATACCATTTACAAAACCCGGCATTTACAAGAAAGTTATAAACATCGAGCCGGCCAGCTCTTCCCGGAGCAGGCACAGAAGAAACAGCACGGCAAAACTCCTGCATCCCAGTCCCATGTTTGGCCCACGAATCTACCTTCGCTCGCACCTTACGACATTGACTGGATCTCTTTAATATTATTCTGGATAAAACGGTGTATTCAATCCTGGCAAGATTACCGTACATACAATTCCGTAATTAGGCAACGATCATGCGTCCCATTGTAACTGGATTTGAAAAACTAGCCTGGCAAAGGTGTATGCCATCATCATGCCATCTTTACTGATAAATCTACTCTTTCCGTAGATTCAATTTTTGGTCATAATAATTGTTTCACTTTGTAATTTAATAAAACAATTCTATTCATTGTATTCCGGCAGTTCTGGCTTCACGGATCAGGATGGTCCCTCATTGACTAACATGGGCACAGACCTCTCTTGTGTAAGGGCTAGGAGACGTAACTAAAAGCTTAAAGCGCTTTGAAGGAAGCATCTTTCCCACTTGCAGACTGACGAGAGAATCCTTTGTCAGGATGCTGTCTCATCAGCACCTCCAAATGGAGGTGTTCAGCCCCATTTCCGTGCTGCCTGTCACCCTTCACCACAACGTTTGAGTCCGTGGCCGGTTAGTCTCGCTGTCACAGGGGGCTTTGTGGCACGGACTGAAAGCAAACGCTTTGCAGAGTCCTCTTCCACTAGACATCAGCCGTCTCAGCTTTCACACCGTCGCTTCCCTTCCCTCTCATCCCACAACTTTTTTCTTTAAAAGAAAAAAAACCAACAAACCCAACCAAACCACGCTTCATGGCCTCATTATACTTACTGGGAATGAACGTTTTTAAATGAGAATTTCCCTAAGCCAGAGGCCCAGAAATAATTTGTTGAAGACATCCAGCTGAGTTGATGAACAGAGGCTTTTGGGGTTTTTAAAGGTTTTGTCTGAGCCACAAACTGCTCCTTTTACCTTGACAACCAAATACTCACAGCAATGGGGAAAGCTTGCAAGGGTTATTTGGGCTGCTAACAAGCAACACAGTTTACCTTAACACCTCCTTGGCCCCCAGTTTTGCATCTTGTTTCCTGATTGCCTGCATCAGGATGCAATTATACAATTACCTCCTATTTCGTTCAGTTAAAAGGTCATGATTATCAGCTGCTCTGGGCAGGCACTCGATAATATTCCCCACCCAGCACATGGATGCACAAGTTTGTGCAGTGACTCATGAAAGCCCGATGACACTGGCTCTCTCCACCTTCCCAGCGGTGAAAGCACAGGGAAACCTGGATGCCTTTCCATCACCTGAGCCTCCGGGATACAGCGATCAAAACTCCAAAACCCGAAACGCTCACAGATCAGCAGTCTCCGCACTTCAGAGTCCAGCTGCTACAGCTTTGCATTTTATAGCAGTCTTTAAAAAAAAAAAAACAATAATGCAAAGACACCCATTTGGCATTGTTAACTCTTTGCTTGTAGCGATCCTCCGCACCAGCTGCAAACCTCCTGTTGTTTCACTATAGAAACCAGTTTCTGCACACCCAGGTGGGAACGTCTTAAAACACATCGGCTGCACTTTGCAGTAGGTGGAAAGAAGAGGCACACATCAATAGGAACAAGGGAATCAAGCCTTCTAGATTCTGCTTTATCAGTGACATTTGGATCAGCCCCCGCATGTACTAATCAAAGCCCACCCTGATTCGTGAAAGATCAATGCTAGCTCTGTGGGGTAACAGAGCGCTCGGTGGCTTTCCCTCTGCAGACACGGGGGGAAAGGGGAAGGAGGAGAGTCAAGAGCAGCACGAAATAAAAACTTTGTGCTCAGAGCTGACAAAGACCAGCTGCCCCAAGGCTCTCGAGCCCGAAAACACTGGGCTGCCTGGCACAGGCCCTCGGTCAGTGTCAGGCTACAACAGAGACCTGATGAGGTTTACCTATAATTTTCAGACCTTCCTCCTCAAAAAAAAAAATAACACCTCTGTTCTCCAAGGCGGACTCATCGTCCATCCCCCTGGAATTCTTCCGTACTATCACAGCATAGAGAGACGAGGGCATCGATCCCCAACTCAGGCACTCACTTCTGCAGATCTGGGAGTAAAATCACCCTGCGATTGATCTGACATGGGAAGAGCAGAGAGTGGAAGAAGCACTTCACCACCCAGGATCTGTAAAACTCATGTGTAGGCACAGGGTATGACAACTCTCATTTGAAGGTTTCTTGGTTAATACAAAAAAAAAAAAAAAAAATCCACGTCTTATCTCAGAAAAGAGTTGCTGTGCTATAATATAATCTCTTTTCCAGGTAAATACACCTAAACTGCAAACCCAATTTGCGCAAGCCAAGCCGTTTAAACAAGCGGTCAGATGCCTGTTCTTCCCCTTCCTCCCCAGGGGTTACGGGGCTCCTCCTGCCAGCACCACCAGAAATCCCAGCAGCCACAACCCCACCTTTCGAGCATCCGTCCCCGCTACCCCGGAAACTGCTCGTCGTCACACCTTGGCTCGCTGTCAGTATTTAGGAACACACGAAGCGCAAGGCTGGAAGTAAGCCAGAATGCTGCTAAAGCACAAGCCTTCAGCGGTACCCTCCTAAATCCTCTGCAGAATCCTTCAGAGAAGCACTTGCATTAACCGCCTTCATCGCTGCCCGTGAGAGTTCCTCCCCAAAATTTAACTGAGAAAGAGTCCTCCGCAGACCCAACAGCTCAGCTATTCCTGCATCGTGGTATGCGCCCTCCCTCTTCAAAAAGAAACCACTTACTCTGTTATTCCAGGCCAGTTTTACCACCTTTCATGCCCCCGTTTCCCCAGACGCCCCCCCATTACGTTGCCTCCAACTGGAATAAGCACTCCTTTTCCACCCGGCTCTGCCTCTGCGAAACCAGAAGGCTGCAATCCCTTGGGGTTTGCAGCATTTGCTAACAGCTCTCCCGTACTGCCTGCTCTGTCGCTCCCAGGCCTCCAGTGAGCCAGCAGCAACCACGGGGACCCATCGATTACTTTGCCCTTTAAGACCAACAATTCGCAGTGTTACTCAATACTTGGTCGGTGGCATCCCACAGAGCTGCAAAATCCTAACACGATGCCAGATGTTCGGCCGATGTCTGTAAGGTGACAGCGTTATTGTGACAAGGCAGATTGTCACACGGGCACAGCATGGCTAGATACACAATTAAATGCCTCGGCACTAAGCTCCTGGGTCACAGCGAGATGTACAACAGCCTGGGTGATTTATTGCTCCTTTCTCCTGACCCTGTCTCTGGCACTGCAAGGTTGATGCTTTCAGGGGGACTGCAGGGAAGCAGTGACTCAGTAGTGTAGCGCTTTCTTTTCCCTGCTAAGCTGAATCCTGCAAGTTTTTAAACATTTGCTTCCCACTGCCTGGTAGGATCCTGTTGCCTGCAACATACAATCAACTCTCCCTCTTGTTCCCCTGACTGACAGCTACAAGTGATATTAAAACTCGAGTTCAGAAGCCAGAGTTTAGTCGTTAACCCCACTGCTGCTGTTTAACTCTGTCACTGGGTGAGGATCCAATTCAAAATCGTGACATTTGGACATCACTTTTCTGCCAAAAATCATACCGTAAGTGACCTACACCGTGTTCTTCCTCGCATGCAAAACTAGACTAGAGCAAAAAATCCAGCGTAAGAGAGGTATTTAAACAGGTACTAAACACTGTATTTAGTGTTTAGTTCAACAGTCTCGGTTAGTTTAGTACTAGCAGCCCCAGGCTCAACTTTATTTGTCACCTCTATACTGAAGTAGCCTCTGTCCACGTAGTCTCCCAGGAAGAGGTAGCGGGTGTTATTGGGTGATCCTCCAACTTCAAACAACTTCATCAGGTCAAAAAACTGCCCATGAATGTCACCGCACACTAGGGGAGGAAGAGCAGCACAAAAGAGGGACAGAATTACATGCTAAGAAAAGAAAGGTCATGACAGCAACAAGGAGCATAGCATTGCTGTGCTCTGACCCAAGCCACCCCTGCTTTACATCCAGCTTCTGCAAAGATGTACTCGATCTACGCCAGCAAAATCCTCTCCTCTGAGCATTCAGGCAATTTAAAAACCTCGCTGGTGGAAGGAACACAGCAGAAAACCTGCCACTTTGAGCAGCTCGTGTTTCCTAGATGGCCCTTATTTAGGACTCCAGCCACAGAAAGCTCTCTGACCTGTGATCGGAGCCTCCACTTCAATCATTGTCTTCTCGTGCCTAAGGATGGCAGCCCCATCGTTGATGATCTTCAGCGCAGCATCCTCTTCCAGGCGCCCTTCCTTTACCAAGTGGCTCTTCAGGACGTCAAGCCTAGGCTTCCCATCCTCAAACACCTCCTTCAGAGTGAGCCGCTGCGTGGGAGGAAATGGGACAGCTGGAAATGGAAGTGAAGAAGTTAGCAACACGTCTCTTTTCGGGGAGGAAAGAATTACAGTCTTTTCAGC